CTTCAACAGGCAGCAAAATATATTGTTTGCCGATGAGAGCGCTGCAGTCGGAGCTAGTTGTCTTAACTGTACTGAGAGGGAACCCTAGTCATGGTTATAACTTTATAATAACAATTAACAACCCACAACTAATGCTCTTTAACAGGGCAAAACACTACGACACAACAGTTTGTGACACAAACAATTTGTCACACTAATAATTGTACATTTATAAAATTTCCCCGCCAAACTGCATGCTGGGTAAAGCTCGCTAACAACAGTCTGCTAACAGCTGGGAGAGGCTCTGTCGCGCCAGTAACATTACATTAAAGAACAGAAAAGAGCGATGCAGGATGAACAAAGACTGAACAACAAAAGGTATTTAGGTCAGACACATATGCAACGCTGATTACCGTAATATGTGTGGTATTTGTTATAAATGTACGTTGGTACATAGAGGGTGATAAGAAGCTGTACATGGAGGGACTTAGGACCCAGGGGAATGTAGGTGAAGGAAACAGGAAGTGACGGAACGGACACGCCACACAAACAGCTGTTCACTGCTCGCTGGCCGGTTGACCGGCAGGTTCTTTTCGGCGTTAATTAATTAATGCTTTAACACGGGAAAAAAAATACCGTGATATACCGTGAAACCCCCAGAATCTTACAAAATACCGTGATATGCATTTTTTGTCATACCGCCCAGCCCTAATATCTACCCACAAATATTGCGACATGAAAAAAAAAAAGAAGGTATTTTTCCTGGTACACCATGATCTGCGATCTTGATCTGTTTGGCACATCATATGCGTTACCTTTAACACAGTATTAACAGTATTATTGATACTTTGTCTCAAAGGGTAACATAAAAAGTATGAATTTGACCGTGTTATTAATGTTAATACGTGTGTTCCCAGCCTTCCTACTTAAAGGCCGGCCATGTTTGTGTTTAGCCAGCGTCTGTTGGCAGTAGTGGAAAGCTGCAGAGGGATTCAGACTATATTAAATAAACTGTTTGATGATATTTAAGGAGAAGGGATGTTTCATCTCAGTGGTTCTATACGCGCATCAATCTTTAAAAAGCGTTTTTAAAACAGAATTCGGCCAACACTTTAATGAAGTGGTGATTATACGGTGTAAGCACTTTGTGACAGCACTCATATCACACTCACACGACATTCACGTCTTTCTGTTTGTATGACTTAACCCAGTAGGTACTGACACTGTTAACAATCACTCTTAGACACACATCTGATCTCAGCATGGGATAACAGTAGGAAATTGAAATGATATGAGAGCATTGTGGTAGCACAAACAATCTCCTTGCCTTAGCACGCACTGCGATTAACAGGGGTAGCATTTGTGGGTCTGAATGAACCAGCATTGGCATTTGAAAGCGGAGCATGTTTGCTAACTCTCAGGAGTGAAATACCAACAACATTGACCCCAGTGACCCGAGCCGGAGAATCAAAATGCGCGTATTGGAAACCAAAGCACAGACACGGGCTGGTACTCAAAGAGCTGAACGGATTATGCTTTGTTGCAGACAGATGCAGCCGCTCTGGGTCAAAATGTAAAATACATTTTCTTATAACCCAAAGAGCAGCACGTTAGAGGTAAAAAAATCTCCTACTATCAGTGCAGTGCTCCATCAACAGCTTGGAGCAGTGCCTCCAGGTTTTCCTCTCTCAATGGGGAAATGATAGTTACAGAAGGCCTAATGCACACACAGCATGAGGCATTTTTTGCGTTGCCTTCACCCATACAGAGCCGCTGTGACCCGAGGCTTCATGAATGCCACTTCTGAATGGCTTGGGTTTTTAAAATACTTTCTTAAAACACCACTTATTCACTACAAAAACACGAGAAATGGCATTCAACTTCATTTTTCCATTCCATTCACATTTGCTGGACCAAAAAAAAGGATCTTTGCTGACATTTTGGATCCGGTGCTTTGAGGAAGGCCATCAAGGTACTGGCTGATTTGTATAAAACTATTGGCCTATGTTTTGATTACTCAAGCTGCTGCACAGTGCGTTAATAAAAGGCACATTAACCCCGCTTTAACACCTCAAGTTAGTTCCAATAGACGGCATTATGCTCTTCAGAAAACAGTGAAAGACACACTTGTGGAGCCCACCCATCTATCCCGGGAACACCTCACATCGCTGAGTATTGATACCCTACCAGCGCCTCATCTGTTTGTCTTTCTGATCCGCGAGCTCTCTGTTCCAAGCTGCAGGTACAAGATGTTCACTGAGGGATATATAATTCATTTGTTTCTATTTGATTTCAAATTTAGAGCAGCGGTACATGTAGGAAATGTAAATAGCTGCCACCAGGAATGAAACCCTTTTGATACGTATATTGCAGGTGATTTTCAGAAATAATGGAAGCAAGTTATCCATTAGCGGATGTGGCATTATGGGTAGTGTGACTGTTCAGATCAGAGGATGTGCTGTATTTAATTTGCAATATCTGTATTTAATTGCTCGGCAAAATGCAAACAGAGACCTTTGAGTTTGTAGCTGTTTTTTGACACCCACGTCTCTTCTCTCACCCCTCACAGGTAGATGGACAGATCTCTGCACAGCAAAGGGCTGATGAGAGATGGAACAAACTGTTTCTCCTTCCCTTTGTACATCCACCCAGCATCCACTGATCAATAGTTACTCATGATGTGTGGCTCTCTCGCTCTCTCTCTCTCTGCCCTGCCTGAACCTTCTCTTTCTCTTTCCTTCCTGTCCATCCTTTGTTCCTATCTGTCATATCCCTCTTTTCTCTCCTTTCTTGTTGTGTCTCCTGTCCCTCCCCTCAATCCTCCCCCCTTTTCAGTTCCAAATTTATCTTCCATTTTTTTTTTCCATTCTCCGTTTTCTAATTCACTTTCTTTCTTTTCTTTTTTTCTCCATTTGACTTCCTTCCCCTCTGTCCCTCATTTCATCTCTTTTTTCCTGTTTTACATTTACTCTCATCCGGTCCTCTCCGTCCCATCCCCTTCATCCACACTGCTCTCCTTTCCCTGCTGTCTCTCATCCCTCGCCTGCACCACAGTAGCTGCCTCTAAGGCAATCAAACAGTGGGAGTTTTCAACACAGCAGATGCGCTGGATGGATGGGAGGATGAGTGGAAGAGGTTAAGGGTGAGCAGCACACAGGCTGGATGCTTGGAGGAGAGAGGACAACCTACACCTGTTTCATGTCAGGAACGTGACAGACAACACAGCCTTTTCTCACAGAAAACCACAAGTTTCTAAATCAGTTTTGAAATGGTGTTTTCTAAAAAAATTCAACTAAAGTGTTGTACTGTAGCCTTAAGATTCTGGTTGTAAAAGTGAGACGATCAGGAGAATATTAAAATGACAGCTTTTCTCGTTTTACCGCTAACAACATCTCATAGATATACTGTAGCTATATATTGACAACACAGCAAATTGGCACAAATTACAGTGCGGTGTCGTGACAAGCATTAACCCTTGGGATGCACCGATACAATACATTACCTGGGCTTTGGGTAATGGCCGATATCGAGTACCGATCCGATACCGGTGTCTAATTAATATGCAGTATGCCTCACTATGTGGAAGTGACTCGGTCTTTTATGTGTTAAACAACATCGACTGAACTTGAACATGGCGGTTCCTAACTTTGTAAAACAAAATATATCTAATAAATACATCGATATGAATTTACTGAGTTATTTATCTCTTAAGAGCGTACACCAGCCACTTGGAGAAAAATCTTCAAATTCACAGGGATTACAAGTGTAAACCTTTTAAATGCAGCAACAAATTGGTCAAAAAGTAGACACACCAGTGTATAATCTATATAGTAAATACACACAGACTTGTGATGAATAGGTTGGCCCCATTGTTACATCCGATCCAACTTTTTGAATCAGTCCGGCCTGATATCGGTATCGGTGCATCCCTAATTATCATCACTGTGTTCTGCATGACGGACTTAATTACCTCAGTGCCATGAGTCAAGTGTTAGCGGTCTATTTGCGTTCAGTCACACAAAAATGAGAGTATGTGGCGAGCTTGACACAGCCCCAGCCCCCCCCCCCCATATCGCCCACCCTCCTTGTTGTTGTTACTGGTGCTGCCATGCTAATTAATTCCAGACTCCCATAATAAAATATAAGTAGCAAAACATAATGTCAAAGCCCCGGGGAGCGAACAGCATAATTACACAACAGATTAATTAGCAAGAGATACATTGTAATCAACGCTGTGTGACTTGTAAAGCGTCATCACGTGCATGTTAAATCCGGGAAATGGGCTTAAGACTGCTCAAGTGCTTCATCGCTTGACACATCAAAAGAACGTGGAGACTGCATCTAAGGCAGAGTGAACACGAGCTGTTAGTGGGATGAAAGGAGGCTTGTGATGGGGCATACTGCAGGCAGTGTGTGTGTGTGTGTGTGTGTGTGTGTGAGAAACAAATAAGTGGAAAACACTATTATCAGTTCTACATAAAACCCCTATGAGTGCGTTGTGTGTAAGGGAGAGATAATTAAAATGCCTGTCTCTGTTTGCTCTGTTCAAAATGTGCTTAATGTTTTGATCTTCTAAATAATCAAAAATCTTAGTCGGCCTGCTGCCTCTCTTTTAATGAGAGGAGACAGAGAGAGAGAGAGAGAGAGAGAGAGAGAGAGAGAGAGAGAGAGAGAAGACGTCGCTGTCCACGGTGCTGAAAGTAGCTGCTGGAGCAGCGTGCGCCACCCCCCCTCGCGCTCACCGCAGCACCCCGTAGTCCTGTCGGCTGCACTCGCTTGATTTGTCTCTGTCCTCTCTGCATGTATTGATTAATTATGATCGGGCCAGCGGGCGACTATAACTGTCTCCCGGAAAGACACCTCAAAACATTGACAAAATGACTTCCAGTGCGGCTGATATTCAAGTTTAGTAAAAGGGAGAAAAAAAACAGCGTGGGGGGTGCGTGGTGTGGTCCACGCGCACAGACACAGAAGATTACACACGGACATAAAAAAGACAAAGGCAGGAACAGGCGCCATACCTGTATAGTTTGGCGGTTGTAGACTTTCACTACGTGGAAGTTAAAACTGTAAATCCCTTTGCGCGGCGCGATGAAATTACTTCTCTCCTCGTCAAAGTTCTTCCCAATATTTACTAGAACCTGGAAGGAAGAAAAGAAAGAAAGAAAGACAACATTTCATTGATAACGTTGCTTCATCCGGCTCGTGTCTTTCACAGTATTTGCACTCAGTCAGCCACATATAGCCCGCATGTTAATAAGCAAACAATCCCAAATGTTTCCACGTGGAATAACACACAACGACAAGATGTATTCTCGGGATTTCACCATGATATATTTTGTATTAAACTGTCTAATTTACAAGGAGAGAAACTATGCTATTATTGTACATTTTCTGAAGTGAATAATTTCTAGGATATCCTATTGAAATTGATACTTCACATATTTTTTTGTTAGAGGGCTATAAAGGGGCCCCCCTTGGCCCCGGACCACACATTCAGATTCACTGATGTAGTGGAATAACTCTCTGCTTTTATCTAGCCCCCCCCCCCTTCTGTCAGAACTTCCAAACTTTATGGGAAATGAAAAGGAACTTAATCAATCTTTCAAATTTACTTTTCAATTATGCATCTCCGCAGCCAAATGACTGGTTTTATGGACGGAGGCGAACTATGGCGTGTAATTGAACGGCAGTTTGAGAGAGAGTTAACCTTTAACGGCAGGCAGGTAGGACCGAGCCCTCGCGACCTGCCGTTACTAAATTATTTGGCGATATGTCAGTTCCCATATCCCATATTGTCATGCTCTGAAAAGTTGAAATATTCAAAAGGCTTGCCTTCGAGGCTATACTTTCCCAACCACTTTGGGAACGGATTAACTATAAAAAGAATTGTTACCGACACAGATTAATTTCCGCTCCACTTTTCGTGGAGCCTGCTGCTGCCCACGAGACCACCAGATGTGCACATATATATATATATATATATATATATATATATATATATATATATATATCTCAAGCCACCGTATCCGTCCTGGATTCATGGTTTTATGAACGTTTCAAGATGTTTACACAACATGCTCTTAGACTGAGTTTAACCCTCATTACACATGACTTTTTCTTTTTTTTTTAAAGATCCATGAAGAGACCAAATGAAACAGTTTTCAAGAGGTCATTGAATGGTTAATGACGGATAACCTGCTTCTTTTGCTTCTGTGGCATGCTACTCCTCCATCCATAGCTATGAGTTGTCGACTTCCATAAGCTATTTGGCAAATGCCACACCAGCAAAGACGCACCCACACACGTGAAACACACGCACGCTCATCTGAAACTTCATGTTCACTATAGGCCAATCATTCCTTCATCATGGAGGCTTTGAAATAAAGCAGACGTAAAACTGACAAGACTGACTGAAAACAATTATAAACTTATTTCGATTTTTTTTTCTTCTTCCTATTGTCATTTTTTCTTAATGGACGGAATAGAAAAATAATAGAATATATATTTCTTGCTCCTACCCGATCGAAGTAGATGACCATGGTTCGGTTGCTCATCTCGGAGGGCTCGTGGTTGGTGTTCCGTACCGCGGAGAACGCCACCTTGGCGTTGCCCGAGCGCACCGAGATCCCGAGCGCCGTGCCCGTGGGGTCCGCAGCCGGGTTGGAGTCGCACACCACGAGGCACTTCCCCTCCAGGATGATTGGTTCCGTCTCGTTCTGGGCGCGGGCCGGGCTCGCCGCGAGCCACACGGCACTCAGCAGGCAAAACGCCAACATACCGGACCGGAACGACGAACTTCTCCGGTCGTCTTCGTACCTTAAACCGCGGGTCTATTCCCCTTGAAAAAAAAAAAAAGTAAGGTGGGAAGAGTTTCCCAGGTGTTCCCCGGATGAACCTTGATGAGGCTTGTTTCACAACTAGATGCCACTCCGTATTCTTGTATTTAATCAGCCCGTTGCAAACAGTTTCTCCCTCGCGGAGTCTCTTGGAGGGGGAACCAGACGGTAAATTGTTCTGCGTCTCTCCCGTTTTTTTCGAAAAAATCAGTTTATTGCCCGCGTACCTCCGGTCGAGTCGCCAGTTTTCACCTGTTCCTTTCCTCTTTTTTTCTCACTTTCTCAGCAGCTTTTCTGTCACTTGAAAACACAATAAGCGGGAGTCGCGCGCGGTGCGGAGGGGCCCTGGACGAGTGACGAGGCAGCACAACTCATAGCGCGCGGAGGGGGGGGGGGGGAGCTCCGTCTGCTCTCTCTCGCGCGCGCTTGAATTATTGATATGTGAGATATGAGAGTTTCAAACACAAAAGGCTCGAGAGGAAGAGACGCAGCGCGAGAGCGCAAGATGCTCCCGCCCTCGTCCTACTGTTTTTTTTTTTCAAAAAACCCTCCCTCCCCCCGGTAACTGAGACCCATCATCGGATTAGCGCGTTCGCGTCTTCGATATTTTCCAATCGCTGCGTGCCGACCGCCCCCCTCCTCGCCCCACCACTTTATCTAGCATCTCTCTCTCTCTCTCTCTCTCTCTCTCTCTCTCTCTCTCTCTCTCCCCCTCCCCTTGTCTTTCTTGCACATCTATCTATCTATCTACCTGTCAAAAGTCAATCTTATCTCTTATATCTTTTTGTCTCTCTCTCTCTTGATCTCTCTTTCCTTTTCCTGTTTTATTGACCTTCCCCAAACACACACACACACAAACACACACGTCTTGTCGGCATTTTACAGGTGAACCACTATAGAGGAGGGGCCAAAGATAGTCCACACTCATGATGTGTTCCAGCATTATCAGAATTATCAGAATTATCGACATCTGTAAAGCAGACGACTGACTGAAAACGGAGTTGTGAAACTGCTCTGCAACCAGCAAGAAGAGATCTGTGTGTAAATACCACTTAAAGCTATATGTAAAATAGGAAAGTTTGCAGAGGGATTTAAAGCTGCAAATGTGTGCAAGCAGACATGGTTTAAGCATAATGGTTTAAAAACATACTCAGATACCAGGAAACATTAGGCGTATTTTGTTATGGTGGCAGCCGTAAAAGACACCTCGGGGAGGTGCAGCAACGCAGAAAGTGTGCCAAATGAGCACCAGTGGGAACCGAAACAACAGGGACACACAAACATGACAGGCATCTTTTAAAGGAGTATTCCGGTGAATCCGTATTACACAAAAAGGGTCCAATTTGATGCAGCAGAGGGCAAGAATCCCTCGGGTCAAGCTCCAAAAATGCTGTATCCTACACTTCCCAACTGGACAGCATCTTTGACACCTGTGTCTTTCAAACTCCACACTTTTTTTAAATAGGCTTTCAGTGGAAACTGTAGCAGAGAAGCCTGAACAGAGTTTATTCAAGTGTTCTCACTCTTAATATTGCCCAATAAAAAAAAATGTCTGCCAATTATCTCATTGACCTAACAGAAGTAGGCTAACAAAAACAAATAACAGTAGAGAACATATAATTCCTTTATGGTCTTTGCACAAAGCACAAAAAAAGAAAGAAAGAATGAGTTCAGTAAAGTCAATGGAAGTCAATGGATAAACAGAAGGTGAAGTATGCAAACTGTACAATACACAGTTAAAAAACGACTTCAGCATCTGTTCTCAGTTTGTCATCACATTTCTCCTCAATAGACGCCTCCGCTCATCTTCCTCTTTTGCCTCTTCCTTTTTTCTTTTCTCTCCTTGACACTCGTTCTTTCTCTTTCCATTGCTTTCTTCTTTTTTCTTCTTTGTCCCCTTTCTCATCATTGTGTTGTTTTTTTCTTATTTTCGCTCTCCCTTTTGCTCCTCCTTCTCCTCCTCACTGTTTCCGTCCTCTTTCTCTCTCTCTCTCTCTCTCTGTCTTCGTCGTCCTTCCTCCCCTCTGCTGCTGTTTCCCTCTCCCGGGGGTTTCCTTCAGCCTCTAACACAAGCTGATGGTGAATGATGGGCCAAAAGGACTTCTTTCAGATGCAGGATGCAGGGGACGAGCCACATCTACTCTCTCTCTCTCTCTCTGTCATACACTCAAATACAGGTGTTGTCACACATCCAAATCACCATTTCCTCTCTCCTTCTTACAACCACGTTGCTATTTTGCCGACCACAATTTGTGTATGTGTGTCTGTTTGTGTGTGTGTTAGCTGTCTGAGGTTGTCACAGGCACACAGGGGGAACAGAGCTCATTGTTTCTCAGGGTGACACTAGCCTGACTGCAGTTTAACTGGACTGACAGACAGGAACAAGCTGCCACTACAGACCCACTTTGTCCATGTGTCTCTGTGTGTGTGATCGTATGTCCGCCAGTGTGTGTGTGTGTGTTGGTTTGTGCTCGACAGAGATTAAGGAACGATCATGGGGATCATATTCATCGCCTCTGGACCACGAGGCCTGTTTTCTTTCACTGGTCTTTTCCTGTCTGTCCACTTGCCAGCCTAATTACCTGTCTGTCTGTCATCCTCGTTCATCTTTCTGTCTGTCCGCCCGTCCGTCCGTCCATCTGCCCGCCGCTGGCCGATGATGCTCTCTAACCACAGACTCTGAGGCTGCGCAGTGCTGCCGTGACATTTAGGAAGTGAGATCACCAAAGTTCTTCTTTTGGGGGGTAAAGAAGGACAGAAAGAAAATGATCAAATCAAAGCTAATGTGAGGAAAAGACACATTCCTCTAATCCCAGATATGAAGATAGCTTTAGGGAATAGTACTCTGTACTTTGGAGAAAAATATGGCTTTAGTTAGTTGGCATGTTGGCTGCAAAGAGTCCTATCGGTGTGTCGTATTGTACTGGACTAAAACATGCTGTTTGGAAGCAAATTAGGTGTGAATGCTGAAAGGAACAATTTCTATTTGCAAGCCTTTTTTAGTCTTACTTATTATACATAAATGGGACAGGGATACAGCATATGGCTTTGTAGACTGCGTTGATTGGGGCTAAAGAAAAGTATAATAGATAAAGGCGCATGCAGAGTCATTTCCTCAGTGCAATTGTCAAATTGCTTTTCGATATTATGGCACAGTGTCTGAGCCAGTAAGGGCTGCAAGAAAATTGGCTCATTCTATGTGTTGCATTCAGTATTTATTCTATATGTCCCTGGGTGTCATTTCCCATTAGCCGTGCAGACACTGACTTGAAGCAGAGGGGTGGTCCCTTAACTAAGTCACAGAGAGCGCTGCCTCACTTTAAAGTGAACAGTGTGAGGCTTCTTAAGATTGCAGGTGTTGAACTGTTAAGGAAACATAGCTCCCAAAAAACTGCACTCTCTTCAGTAAAAAAAAAAGGATTTGACAGCTGAACGGGCTCAACACCAACTAACCAAACGTCTGTTTAAATCTCCTAGTTTAAAAACAATTTGAACAACTAATGTTCTAAATATACAGTTGATCATACTTACAGATACAATTTTATCCCACCTCCCACAGCCATTTTCTAATTAAAGATTACCAAACAAGTCTGAGCTGCAGCACTTCCAACGTCTGGCTACATGGTCACATGGTCCCCACCTACTCACCTACGAGAAAGAGCTGAGCAAGTGGAGCCTTCTGGGCCCGACACACTGAGACAAACATCTTCTGCAAAGTATATTGGCGGTGAGCCATCGAACCTCCCTCATTAGTCATGACATGATGTTAATAAGTTGGTAATACTCTTCCATTGTCTAGAAATAATATCTATTTATGAATGAGCTATTAATCATCTAACACATACACAAAATTGTAGTTTACTCCTAAGGTCTTATCATGCACACTTGTTGGATGTCTTGGTGACACATCTACGGTGTGTGAAGTATAAATAGTCAGCACGAAAATACTTCCCTATAATAAAAGTACATAGACTAAAAAAAAGATTCTGAAGTTGCGAAAACCAAAAAGAGGTGACATCAACCTTATTTGTAAAACAATTGAGTTTTGTCCATGAAACTCGAAACCCAAATTTGATTTGTGTTGATCTGCTGTGTATGGATTTTGATTAACATCGTTACAAATAACAAGTTCTTTGTACATCTTATTTCTCTCTCACTTTTATTTCAGAAGTGCTATATATTGACCCAGAGAGTGTAAAAATATCAACCAAAAATATTCAGCGTGTTAAGTTGGGAAGTGGACTGAAAGAGAAATCAGAGGAAAAATCTCCCATCCCACAGCAAAACAACACACACACACACACACACACACACACACACACATACACACACACACACACACACACACATTAGGCTCACAGGGAGACAGAGGCAGTCTTCCAGAACGAAAACGTGCACACACACTCTCACATACACACACATACTCACACACAGCAAGTCAGGTAAGCACAGAGGGATCAGGGTTAACCAGGCATCAGTGGGATGGGCTGTCGCATATAAGAGGGCCCTCCTGAGGCCCTCTTATATGCGAGGGTCTCAGTGTGTATGTGATTGTGTGTGTGTGTGTGTGTGTGTGTGTGTGTGTGTGTGTGTGTAGCTGGGTTCATGTGAGCATGCGATCTCATTGCGTCATACATTGCCTAGGTCTGTACAGTATGTTTTTTCCCACTGTGTCAAAGAGATGGAAGCAGGAGGGAAAAAAGCCCAATGCCCTCTGCTTCTAACAGCTAACTGCCCTCTTTTGATTCATCGGGGAGCTTTATCGCTGCTTTTCGCTTGCTTGTACACGTCATACATCTCTGGGAAATGGGGTTGACTGTACACAAAGAGAAAAGCAAAGAGGCAGAGGATGCAGTGGACCACTGGGACATTACACTGCAAGCTTTTTAGGAGCCATTGGCAGAGCAGGCAAGGAAGCAATGGGCTAAATGGTGTCTGGTCCCAATTATTCAACAAGCCGATTGCCAAACTCTCATTTTTGCATGCATGGAACTGCATGCTCTACCTACTCCAAGGGGAGGCTGAGATACTTGTGTTAGGCAGCGAGGGCAAAATCACAAATGCTATATTCTTAAATCTCTAAATCTTTAATGGAGCCAGTGTCAGCTAGATTATTCATGCCTTGAACTCAGGTAGGCTTAACTTGTATCTGGATCAAGCCAGGCAGAGAACATGCCTATCAACCTGAAACATTCCTATCTAAGTGTATAGCTCTGAACAGCCCACTGATGAAAAATGAATGCGTACCTTGTATAACTTTGACAGGTCATTCTCCACTTTGACAGTTCACAAGGTCCATTTAATCGCGTCTTCAGGAGCTTTCGACTGCATCACACGGTCATGTTCTGCCAAAACGTTTCCACATCTAACTGGTCAGATACCGACGCTTGGGCAGGTGCTCTAAGCTTCAAACTGTGACGCCCTAGGTACCCCTCTAGTGTCAGTTTGG